TCCCGAACAGGTAACCGGGGATGATATGTTGGTATGTTGGTATGTTGACATGCCAACACAGTACCATAGCACCATATCATATATTTCCTTTTCTGGCAGTCACGTGCTGCATGTGATCCAGCCTTGTCTTGGGCCTTTGTCCCGCAGGGCTGTTCTTTGCCGGTAGACCTTCCTTCTGCTATCCCCCCCTGGGGTCGCACAAAAGGCTGTGTCTAACACCTACCTAGCGATTAAGAGAGATCTTAGACTCAAAGAGGCTTTTAAGTATTACGTCTCTTACGCCGAGGACTTTCCCGACGACGATGTTCTTATAGATAAAGAGTGAGCGCAACTAGACTTAATTTACGAGGGTCTTAAACCGTTCTAGGAGATAACACTAAGACTTAAAGAAAGTAATAAGAATGGCTCTTATAGAGTAATCTAGGAGGCGCTACCATCACTAGATATACTCTGTTATTATATTAAGAGTTATATAACTCTTCACGGCTATTCTATTCAACGGCGACGAGGTTAGAATCAACGCGGTCGAGGAACAGCGTAACGATAGATATCTCAACGATATACAGCGAGTACCGACCCCCTAATCGTTTACTACCAAAACGCCTAGAAAGTACTATAAGAATATAACGATCTAATAGATAAGAATCACGAGCTGTATACCGCTGGCGCTCTTCTCAATCCTTGTCTTCGTCTACAGTATTTCAAGCGTTCTTAGACCAATAATGCCACACATTAGATCGAGCCTATAATCGAAAAGAACCGTACGATCTGGCAAGAATAATATAGTCAGATTACGCCTATAACTACTTCGGAACGTTCACAGTCCTCTCTCTCGCTATTTATCACTTAATTACAAGGCGCTAATACCTCGAATACCGAGGACGACTTTTATCGATATATCAACGGTCGACCGACGCCTTTTATAGATTAGCGTAAAGAAAACCTTTTCCACTAGTAGTCTACCTATGACTTCCCGTCACTTCGTCAGTGAGCATTTAACACTTTAACAATACCTGCAATGTCTACAGAACTAAAGAGGGTATTCTCCCAAGCGAAGAGAACGATAACAGTCGATCGTAACCGTCTATCGGCGAGGTCTTTCGAGGCTAGTCAATGCCTGAAGCACTGGATCGATCAAGGTCTATATGAGATGTGATGGTGAGACTTTGGACCCATTTCCACCAATTAGATCGCTCCGTTTACGGAGATTCAGGGGGACTAGTTGGGACTATAGTCAGGACTAGGGACTATAGTCCTAGGGGGCTGGGACTAGGACTAGGACTAGTGGGACTATAGTCTTACCAACGCTGGACACAAGTGACCCAGAAGACAATTTTCAGGCCTTACGTCCCGGTGAAGGTAATAATGTGAGTGAAGAGTCTCAATGCGACGAAGCAGTTAGTCAGCCAGCATCAGAGTCATCTTCAACGAGAACTGGTTGCCACAGTATCGGAATAAGTCTTCCAAGTTCGGCCCCAGTAACTCGAACACCAAAATCGTGAAGTCATTGTAATAGCTATGCCAGTACACCCGGGAGAAGCCGATTTTCCCGACCAGAGATTAATAGATTTCCACTTTCTCCTTAAGTAAAGACGGGGCAACGCTGTGATGTTCGAGTTGTATAGCGACTTCGTTACCGGTTTCAGTATTACGCTCTATTGAATGTGAGATTTTATTTAAAGTCATGGCCGACACGGATGTGGCCATACCTAGATAGACATTGCTAAAAGAACCAGATCCTAACTTTCCCACTGAGTGGTACCTGCCGCTGATGGCCATATTTTGACCACGCTGCACAAAAAATACTGTCCATTCTATGCTCATCGGTCTTTAAATTATATCCGCGAGATGATGAAAACATTGCTTCAGCTCACCAAGTTCAATAAATCTCTGTCAGCGTGGGTGACGACAGTGAACGTCCGGATGGCGAAGGACATGGGTTTTCCACTCCGTCACATTCGAGTATTGGTGAAATCTGTCTTCTGGTTCGGTGTCCTCGTCACTGAGGCACTGAGGGCACAGGGCAGGAGGGATAAAATTGTGGCGGAACTGGGCAAGGTCGCATTTTAGTGGGAGCGGGCCGAGGCGTCCGTTAGGCTGTACATATATGCTCTGCCGCGTGACGTTTCCAGGCCTCTCGGCCGTGGAGCCATTCAAAGAACAAGAAACAGAATTCCTGGAAACCGCGTCGGGCTTTTGCGCGGGCTTTGCGACAGCGGTAGACATGTGTCCACCATATTGCCGGGTTTTCTCTAATATCAGGTCAGCCGGTGTGAGAAGTGATAACCACGGGAACGCTTACCGGGACTTTCACCTCTGGCTGGGTATGTCTTGACTGTGCTAGTCTCTCTTGGTAAGTTTCGGCAGGAGCCTGGCTCGTAAATTCAAAAATTCCGACGACTTTCTTGCCATAGCCTTGGCCATAGTCCTTAGTTGTATCATTCCTCGTTGCAGGCACAAGAGACTGGTTACGGTAAACAGACCTGCTGGCAAATGCTACCCTGGAGCTTACTCAAACTGGTTTAGACGGGGCCCGTCGCACACCGAGTCAAGAGTCAATACCAGTGTCATATGGGGTGGACCGTCTATTCGCTCATCATACTGCGCACCAAGTGAACCGATACAGTATAATGGAGCTGCCTTTACTGGATCCGACACAAGCACAGTTCGTGGCCAACGCCTCGCTCGCGTCCGGAGGTCGCTCCATTGACATTACAAGAGGATGGGACGGGTGGCTAGGCAGCAGCCTTACCCCTCTCTGGATATCGGACTGCCTATTTCCTATTAACCCCAGGAGGGGGTGATTTCCAGCATGCACGACTGGGTCAATGCGATCTGTCTGAAATACTATACTCATCGTAGAGGAGTGAAGATAGCCGCTGTCTCGGCTAAAGTCTCTTCGGAGAGCGTGCGCTCTAACGGCGAGTCAGGGTGGAGTATACGCCACTAGGCCAAAGCAGTGTTTGTACCGGATTCCCAGTGGACATCTTCTAAAAGGTGTGGAATGGAGGCTCTTTATTGTGCCTCCCTCATTATATTCACCTATCTACCAATGAGCAGCTGCCACCGATGACCGGCATAATTTGTCTGAAGATGTCGGCATTGCGCAGTTTACAAAATTGGCTTGAAGAAGAGCAACGTCGCAATTGTCCTCCTATTGCAAGCAAGACAGCTGGTTGAATGCTTCCAGATGTCTGGAAGATGAGAAGAATTCAAGAACGCGTGAATAGCAGAAAGAGGAGGGACGGCGGGCGCGCATCCATAAGACCTCTGAAAATGCCAAGCAGGAGCCGCTTTGGGTCACCCCTGGTCAACTGGTGCACAGCCCTCTAGAGAATCTAAGGGGAGGCCATTTGGAATCAAGAAGCCCGTCCTGAATGTCCGAAAAGCCGCCGAGTCATTATGGATAGTCAAGTCCGAAAGGGTCCGAGATTATCACATGCTGGTTGCGAGTAAGAATAGCATAGAATCAATCTTCAGCCTTTCATATAGGAAGTTCCTAAAAATGAGTCTAAACGTCATACTCCGTCACCGGGTGTGCAGCAGCCTCTCTCCATAATCCTAGAAGTCATATCACACGCTGTTGGAGACATCGACTTCGATGAAGCCTTGGTTCTGCGATACCATCACATGTATTTCTACTCACCTGACGGAAATAGTAACGCTCTTCATCCGGCGATCCCTGGTCCCTTACACCCACTAGCCGATCTTAGTCATCTTTTGCCGGAGGTCGCAGCGTTCTACGCGCTTTGAGATGGTCAGGGTTCCTTGTTGGGGGCGTCAATGCCGCCTCGGATCGTCAGATGGTCGATGCCCATGGCCTAAGACCTTGCCAATCATATGTAACATGTGACGCCCTTTCCAGGATTCGATACTAATATATGCCGGTAGCTAGCGAATCGTGAATTTGATGCCTGTCACCCATGGTGCCCGAAAGCAGCGAAGGTAGGAACCATGGATTGCTGCATCGAGCTACCTACATCCGGCGGTTGAATCCTGAAACCACATAGACCTATGTTGCTGACTATATATCGTTGGTCGACTATTACGAGTCAAACTTCAGCATCTGCATCCGGAAAGTATGGATGATGATTTTTTTAATTCCAGTGTTTTTGAACTGGACCAGGCTCCTATCGGCCCTTCTTTCACTTCAGGCATAATTCCCTCCACTAGAGATATCTCGCAGGGGAGGTTTCAGAACCCCGAATATGCAACGGACACCTACGAGCCCTCTCAAGACCGGCGAACGACGAATCAGACCCGGAAGGGCGCGACACAGCAGTTCAAAGCCTCTACACGTGCCCCTCCGTCTCGCCTAAAGTCCGGAAATTGGGATGTGGCACAGCGAGCGCCACAAGTGCGGAACACGATAGATGAAAGGATTGATGACTTGGAGAAAATGTGAGGACATAATGGTTTCAACTACGCCTATTCTTATTAATTTATCTCCTCCTTCCTAGACAGACCTACATACTTGAAGAACTACAACAACTACAACACAAACTTGGTCGAATCGAGACAAAATTGGCCGAGTTGCAGAAAACGCGGCAGGAAAGTGAAGGTAGTAGTGAGATGAAGATGCAAGTCGCTCAGGCAGCCAGTGTGGCACTTAATTCTGTTCTGGGGAACCCGTTGCCCTCCAACACAGCTGATTAAATACAATCACTTGTTCGCCGGATCATGCAGGTACTCGTGATGCCGCGGAGCGATTGACGGAGATATTCAACGGGCTAGCTCCAGAGAATGTGTGACAAAGAGAGGGAGTTCCGGATCAAGCGGAGGATCGTTGTATTTTGAATGGCCCTCATATACGACTGCGAATGAGGTGTAACAAAAGTGGCAATTTGCGTCGGAGGCCATCTCGTCGACCGTATTTCATCCTTGAATGCTGACCGCCCATTGGGTATTATACACAGCAGCTGCCGGAATTGCGTCGGATTGCCAAGAGTATTTCGTCTGTTGACAGGGTCTCAAGATAGCCTCTGCGGCAAACCACCTGAGACGCTAGCTGTCTCACCAACTGCGCCACTTACCCCAACACTGTTGCTCTCGCCCATCTACGACGGCGTGAGGACTGCGTAGCCAGAGAGACAGAACACAATCAAAGCAGATAGAACCACTCCTATTCCGTGTACAACCCCACCTCCCCCCCCCTTTTTTTTTTAGCGCGATAACTACATTTGGTGCACACCTGCGCCCTGAGTATAGCTCCCCAAATTTATGATTTCATCCATACAAAAAAGTCCTCCTCGTCTCTGCGAGAGGGTGAAGAGGCTCCGCATAACCCCTATAAAGGATCCACTGGGTACCTCAATAGGCCGCAAGTTACTCGCGCCATGGAAAATACGTTTGTTGAGGATTGCTCCCTCTGCAGACTTACAATCCGATCTCACATGCGATCTTCTAACCGCGGACCTGGTACCCTTTCCCGGCGTGGGGTTGGTGGTAGAGTCTGCCATTGTACAGTATGAGGCACTCTCCTACACATGGGGCTATCCAGTACTCACCAAATCCATCAACTGTAGCGGTCTGCGCCTCCCGGTTTCCGAAACCATGTATGAAGCTCTTCGTTACATTCGCAGAAAAGACATAACTTCGTATCTGTGAATTGGTGTCTGCTGCATAAACCAAAGGAACCTCAGCGAGAAATCAAGGCCGGTCGAGATGATGTTTGTCATCTTTCAAAAGGCAGTGAGGGCTGTGACGTGGCTAGGAACACCATCACTAGAGGAGGAGCTCGTCTGTTGACGGATCGAACGGACCAACGAATACGACCGGGTTAATCAGCATGTATACTCTCTTAGCCGCCCGCCGAACAATAAACGATGCCATCATGATCATTACGACCGTAACTTAGCCCTGGCCCGCGATGCCGCGATGCGACTGATTACCTCAAGTGCCGTCTTTCTGCGTACTTGGATCAGGCAGGAAGTCTTTGCCGCCCAAGACATGAAGATCGTCTGCGGAAAGCACGTATTTTCCTTCCCTAAGTTCTCGAACGTCCTTGACCAATTCCTACCCGAACACGCCCCATCCCCGGATCGATTTATCCACAACCCTGACCCAATGTCTCGCGCTATACTCTGCTACAGCTACTTCCGCGGCGATTAAGAGTCGCGCCTAATGCATCAAACAGGAGAATCCAACACAATGTGGTTCAATATCGTCATGAGAAGCACCATTTCCCAATCCACACGAGCTCAAGACAAAGTCTCCGCAGTGCTGGGCATGGTAGCTGCGCTGACAAACCAGGAGGTAAGTGCCAAAATGGGCATCGAGCAGTGGGACGTCACCAAGGGGTTACCGGCCATCGACTACACGAACCCAATGTCGTTGGTGTTTCAAGATTTTGTGAAGTATACAATTAACGGGTGTAAGAATCTGTAATGTCTGTCGATCTTGCAAACGAGAAGAGCCAACGGCAAAGATCTACCCTCTTGGGCGATTGATTTGCGAGTCGATGTCCCTCGTTACCTTGTTCCTGAGCAGATGGCCTTCTGGGGGCGGGATTTGGTCGAAGAATTGAGAAAAGTAAAGTTAGATTTCGACCAACACAACGTCCTTTCCATACATGGTCGACGGATAGAAACAATTAGAAGCCCCGATTCTCAGAAGGCAATATGTTTCCCTTAGTCTGAGGGCGGCTCCGACGTATCCGAATTACGATCGACGCCGAAAAGTAACAGGTCTCACTACGCGTTTGTGTCAGACTTGGTCAACGATGGCAATATTCTGGTGCACTTGAACGGCGCGAATATGCCCTTCACGTTGCGAGATACCAAGGGGGGAACTTTTGCCTTCCTTGGTCCGGCGATTTTGGCTGTGGGAGTTGGCAGTGGGTCTCGCGGGAAGGACTCCCCGGTTTTCCGCTATGCGATCGCCGGTGCGGACAAACCAGAACGGCATCATGCTGAGAAATTTGTTCTCGTTTAGATTTCCACTTAACTCCTTCCGTCGCCGTCGTCGAATTTTAGTTATATCGCCGACAATTGGGGACACTTTAAAGCACACTATTTCATATCAGGTAAAGCGGAACCCACTTATTCCTTAGCTCTCCGTGGGAGAAAGTTCGGAGTGTCTCCAGGTACGGGGTAGACACAACCCACAAAGATACAACCTTTCGGAGATATATCGGTAGAATTGGATTACATAATAGATTTCTTTCCAAACAGAGCCGCTCAATGATTGGAAATCTCCTTATATTGCTCGCTAGCACAACAATCACGTCGTGGTCAAGCGCATGAGAGAACTGCCTCACTGCTAGTCTTCACGTAATTTAACTCAACTTCCGCGGCCGGTTGAAGTCCAATGGATAGATGGCGCAAGTGAGAGAATGTGGTTGTAAATGGTACTGTTGTTGGACCAGCCTTCCTATCTTCCAAGTCGAATCACCTTTGTGATTCATTGCATTGATGAAACCAGGCGGTGCCATCGCCATAGCACTTATACCTTTTGGGACTCCCAGAACCTGTTTATCTCTTTATTCCGTACACTGTGTGGCACTGGTCTCCTCCATCGTGCCCAGACATGTCCAAGATCATGTGTGCAATGGCAAGTTTCCGTGATAGACTCTCACGTAGGAATCATGAACTAGGTGAAATCTTGTCTAATCACAGCGACAAATACTGTACCGCTGCGGAGGCCCTGAAGATGACGCTGCCCATATAGTCGGGAAAGAATTGCAGTGGTCGAGCGAAGAAGAGGACAAAGAAGGTTTGGGGGAAGATGACCAGCCGGGCCATGGAGAGGCAATGAAAAAGCCTAGATGAATTCCTGGACAACGATGACCCTCCCGAAGCAAAGAAGCGCTACGGTAAATTGCCATTGATGCAATTTCAAGACGGCAGTGCCGCCGACGATGCGTGCCCCGTGGAGTGGACATCTCTGGCAGACGTTGATGCGAGTTTCACCAGCAAGGACATGGCGACTGACGGTCACTCAATATCGGATAGAGTCAGGCTGTCCAACCGCATCCTCGATGTGCGAACTCCATCCACACAAGCAATTCTCCGAGTTCAGTCGGCTGTTTGCAGGACTTTCCGGAGATATCTGGATGACTGTGGCTTTCTGGGGATTCATACACCAAAGTTACAAGGCGGCGGAACCGAGGGTGGAGCTGACGTCTTCAAGCTCGATTACTTTAGACGTCCGGCTTTTCTAGCTCAAAGTCCCCAGTTTGCCAAACAAATGTGCATCTCTGCAGACTTTCCTCGTATCTTTGAGGCTGGTCCTGTCTTCCGCGCTGGTTCGTCCTCATCCCGTCCCCCTTTATGGTCGTTGCCTGACATTTGCTGCAGAAAACTCGAACACTCCCCGCCACATGACCGGGTCTACCGGATTGGACCTAGAAATGGCCATAGACAGGTATTATCATGAGGCCATGTGACTGATTGTTGCGACACTCAAGGATATCTTTAAAACGCTTTATGACTGCAACAGAAACGACATTGATACCCTGAAACATCACTTCCCACATGACGACCTGGTCTGGCGGGACGAGACAGCGAGGCTCACATTTGCGGAAGGAGTGAAGCTGCCGAATGAATCAGGGTGGACCGACGACGACGCAAGCCAACAATACGAGCACAACGACCTACCCACTAGGGCCGAACGAAGACCGGGAGAGTTGGTCAAGGAGAAATATCACACCGATTACTACATTCTCGACAAGTTTCCCGTGGCGGCCCGTCCTTTCTACACCATGCCAGATCCCAAAGATGACAACGTCACAAATTCGTTCGATTTCATGGCTCGAGGACAAGAAATCCTTTCTGGTGGGCAACGGATCCACGAACACGCACTGTTGAAAGAGCGAATGGAAAATCTAGGCATGAATCCGGATGGCCTGAAGGAATATGTGCAAGCTTTCGAGTGGGTAGCTCCACCTCACGCCGGGGCCGGTATCGGCCTGGAACGTCTTGTCGCCCTTATCCTGGATCTGGGCAATTTGCGCCACGCGTCGCTATTCCCTCGCGATCCCAAAAGCTTTCCCACCACCAAAGAACCGAACCTGCGGCATCCTGGAGACACTACTCTGCAGCGGCCCAAGGGATATCTTCAGCCACTTGTGAACCTGGTTGCAAACTATGGCGATGCCACAAACACCTCCTGGATGGACGAGATTCCAAATTTGGCGCGATGACAAGACAGGCGCAGCCATCGCCCACGTCGCCACGCACGACCGGGCAATCATTGCCGGAAATCCGCTCTGCGAAAACGAGCCAACTTGAAGACGTCGTTATCGCATTCCTGACGTGGCTCCGACGGAAGACTCGTCTTTGGCCTTTCTTTATTCTGGTCGACAAAGAAGTGGAAGAGGTCCTCGGCGATAAGCTGGGATGGAAGAGTTTTACCAACGTGGCAGAGCAGCGGGCCAATCTGGCTAACAACGAGCATTTGACCATTAACAGCGACGTTGACCGCAAGATCAGGCACGCCTCGAAGGAAGCCGTGAAAGTGACTGAATATGGCAGTGACGTATAGGAAGACGTGCGCCAGCAGGTCAAACAGCGCATCAAAGAATGGCAGGACAGCCGGGAGGGAGCACAGGTCCATCTGAGCGTGATCACGCCGTTCACGGACGCATCACATCGCCAGTATTTCATCGCCATGGACGACCACGGCAAATTACACAGCTTGGTGGTGGTGCTCGCGCAACTCGCGCCTCGATGGGGCGTGCAGGTGAAATAGGCGCTCGACTTCCCCGGGGCGACCAACGGAGCCATCGAACTGACAGTGCAGACGGCACTCAAGGCGGCCGCGAAGGCGGGCTACAAGACGTGCACATTCGGAGCCGGTGCAACGGCCAAGCTCAGCAGCGAACACAAGTCGGTGGCGCAAAGGCTGCCACGCTCGACTCGCTGTATCAGACCCTCGCGGCCAAGTACAATCTGGACAAGAAGACCGGCTTCCGCACCAAATTCAACACCTTCGAGGATCCGCTCTACCTGTGCTACCCGCCCAGAGGCTTGGGGCTGAAGGGTGCCCCAGTCATCATCGACTTTTTCCAAGGGGAGGAATGGAGCCGGCCAAGAAGAGAAGTGCAGGACCTCGCTGATGGGACTCATATGCTTATCGGTGAAGCCCATCGAGGAAGGAAAGTTTTACACGCTACTTACCTACATACCCATACACGGCAAACGAGTTACAATCTCCACCTCTACCGACGGCAGCAATAAAGGCAATGGCGACGACGACAATCCCCTTTTTCTTTTCTTTATTTTTTATTTATGCAAGAAACCTGCACAGCGTTCAAGCACACACTGGTTCTATAGCGATACCTTTCCATGAAATAATACCGAAGTCCACGCTTCTGAAGTCATGAAACAACAGCTTTGTTCAAAATTTTGATGCTAAATCTATATCTTTGCCTCTTCAGCTTTCGGTTTAGACGCCTCCACTCCTCCTGCTTGGTTCGAGATTGTCCCGGCAGTTGGCCGCCCTTCTAGCTATATGTTCGCGTTGCATGTGGACTGGGGGTTCATGCTATTTGCCAATCCTGGCTGAACCATTTGCATCCCTGTTGCGCTATCAACACCGCTAACCGCGGGGATGTAATACGCCCCGAAGCCCCCGGCCGCTTGTGGTGACCTAAGATGACCTTCGTACCGGCTAGACGTAGGTACAGTGACACAAGGACCGCTACCTCTCTACGGCCGATGTTGCCGAAGGAGAAGAGGATGGATGAAGAGAAAAGACACCGGTATTCTCGCAATCACCCTCGAGAATGCAAAGAGGTTGAGTTCTCCGCCGCATCTACTTTTTATCATGTACTCCCCTTTTACTTACCGCAGCCTTCGTCTTCGCCGCGTATCTGGTCTCGCTTGCCATCTACAGGCTCTATTGCAGCCCGATTGCCCAATTCCCAGGCCCCAAGCTTGCAGCCCTCAGTCGGTGGTACGAGTTCTACCACGAAGTCGCCCTGCGTGGTCAATTCACCTTTCATATCGCCGAGCTGCACAGAAAATACGGTGAGATTCTTCGCCCCCCCCGGTGTACTTTTGATGATGATGACGGAATGGATTCGGCGGACGCTTTGACTTGACGACGACCGCGACAGGGCCGATTGTGAGAATCAATCCACAGGAGCTGCATGCCTCGGATTCCGAGTTCTGGGACACCCTCTACGGGCCGGGCAGAGTCGACAAGTACGACGACTGCAGCAACCGGCTGAACATTCCTCGCTCCATCTTTTCGACCGCGGATTACAATCTCCACGTACTGCGCAAGGCACCTCTCCTCCCGCTCTTCTCCAAGAAGCGCATCGCAGATTTCCAGCCCGTCATCCGCGAGAAGCTCGACATCCTGTGCACCAAAATCGACGGCTATGTCGCCAGTGGCCGTCCTTGGGCCATCAATCGCGCTCTCACGGCTTTCTCGGGAGACGTCATCACCACCTATGTCTTTTCTGAATCCTATCAACATCTGGAATCCCCGGATTTCAACGAGACATTCCACGAGCCGTTCATGGCCACCTCCGAGGTTGGCCATGTGGCCCTGCAGTTCAAATGGCTGTACCCCTTGATGAACGCCCTCCCAGCATGGCTTGTTCTCAAAATGCAGCCGCAGATATTCCTGGTCTTACAGCTGGGCAAGGACAGCATACCCACGGTGCACTGACCAGAGTGATCGCACAGAGCCGGCAGCTAACCAAGGTTCTTCTACCGTCCAGGACTTCGACGCCAAACTCAAAGCTATACTCTCCGGCACGGCGAAAGAGAACCCAGACCACCCCACGATCCTGTACGAACTCGTCCGCGGCGACCTGCCTCCCCAGGAGAAGCAGATCGACCGCCTGAACGAAGAAGCCCAGCTCCTGGTCGCCGCGGGCCTGACGCCCTCGTCGTGGGCCATGTCCGTGGCCGCGCTCCACATCGTCCGGTCGCGGCACATCTACGAGCAGCTCCGCGCAGGGAGAGGGCCAGTGGCAGCTGAACAGGGACATGGACCGGTGGTTCTTCCCGTTCGGCAAGGGCAGCAGGTTATGTCTGGGCGTGAACCTCGCGACAGCCGAGATCCAGCTGTGCCTGGCGACTTTGTTCCGCAGGTACAATTCTACACTATTCCAGACGAACGCCTCCGACGTGGCCCTCGCGCACGACTTCTTCCTTCCCAGCGCCCGGCTGGACTCGAAGGGCGTGAGGGTCACGGTGAAAGAGGCCGAGAAATAGAAAACGGAGACGGGAATGGAAGCTGAGCAACAGCAAAACCGGTCCATTCGTCTTCGTTGTGCTCACTGATATAGGATGGGCGGCGCAAGACCATCCAGTCTGTGTCATACATACTTGGGCCCTAGATGGCTTGCGTGCGGCTCGGAGGAGTACGACAAGCCAGCCTGTCTTATATTATGAATCAGTGGTACGATCCTTAGCATTTTGAGGGGGTTCACTAGCCCATGTAGGTCCGTCTTTTGAGTTCTCATGCGTCATATTAGTATTGTACACATATAACGGCGTATTGATTGATTTCTAGACAGCCTGAGTTTGCCTACCCACCCATATAGACCTAGGGACTTTCCCATTTCCATTTTTTAAGCGCTGCCGCTCGGCCTCTCGTTTCTGATGGGCCAGCCTTGTGCTCGATCGTGGCAGGTGACATGGTGTACGTGAGACTGTCGTACGTGCTTCATAACAAGCAATTCATCGATCAGGCCAAGAAAAGAGACTGAGAGGATCATGGCACTCTCGACTTGGACGAGAATTCCATCAGAATTCCAAGTGCCAACCGTGGAAGCCTATCAGTGACACTGCAACATCTTCATGATCTCTTTCAATATCGGGTCTTGTTCAGGGCCGGCCTCAAAATCCATGTTAAATATTCCAGACTTCAACCTCTGCTCCCACCTCTCTCTTCCATCCTTGGTTTCGTAATGAAACTGCCGGTTGGAGAAAATGTACGAGCGTCCGTACCTTCTTTCCGATCCACGGTTGCTCAGAACCTTCGCAATCTCTTCGGCAGATAGACTGGTCAAATGGTGGTTGAGATTAGCCATTATAAGGTCCTCGACTGAAGATGCAGGGATACAGCCAGAGAACAACTGCTGCAGACCTTCATTGACGGTAGCCTCAATTTCACAGAAACGCCCGAGTCCTCTAGGAAAATGCTGATAGAACTCCAGTCTGAAGGGGCCCCCTTGTGAAGGTTCGTGAAGGATGATGTGGATCTTGAAAACGTCGAACTCCTCTACGGACTCCATAACCAATTCCATCGGTTCGTCCGGTTCAGCGAAAATGGACAACGTTTCATAGTCATGGTAAATGAGATACGCCAAAATGCGAAGTGTTTCGCCATCAGTGCTGCTCAGGGAATTATAAAGGAATTGCAGATAGTGGCAAAGCGCTGTCGCGGATTCAGCTAAATCCAATTCCGTGTACAAGGAACATTGCCAAACAGGGCGAGCAACGCGAACATAACATGCCTTATCCCAGCGGTGACATAATAGGGGGGTTTGCGTCCATGAGAGGTGAGGTTTAAGCATCGCAAGGATGTCGTTGCGAGTTTCATAACCACACCGTTGTGTGTTCGTGTCAGACAAAGAAAGACATGCACCAAAGCCGGCCACCAGACGTAACTCGTCCGGATCGAGAGTGCTGAGCCTTGCCTCGAGATAAGGAATCAATCCCCATCCAACGGCATAGCTGAAGACAACATTCTGAAGAGGTGAAAGATGTGGACATACTATGTCCAAGGCATACGTTCGGTCAGCCAGCCATCTATTTTCATCCTTGTCTTCGGAGAGCGGTGGAGGCAGGCGAGGAAGAAGACGTCTCTGGGCTGCCCTAAAGACATTATCCATGACCCTTGAGTCGAAATCAGTCCAGAATGCTCGGTTTATCTCCCTCCCATAGCTCATAATATTCGCAAGATATGCGACATTCTTGCTGATAAGGAAGCTGACCGCTGAAGCAGTCATCAGTCTCCTCAAAGCTTCCTGCTCGGAAATGTTGCAGGACTGAAGCAATGCAGCACCCGCCTCACTGTCCACCACGAAGTCTTGTGCGCTTCGGTGAATGAAACGCAGCTCCAACTTGCGCATCTTGACCAAGGAAGGAAAAGTCTTCGAGAAATCCAATCCAAAGTGTGGATGGAATTCGACAAGTCCTGCGCATCTTGCAATCACATTGGCTTCGAAATTCTCTGCCATAGCGTCCAAAGACGCCAAAAATTGAGTATCCAGATTGTCAGGGAAGTTGCAACGCAACATTTCCTGTTCCTGCGACGCTACAAGCATTTCAAACAAGGTCAGCTTCGTATGGCCTCTGGTTGCAACATCAGCTAGGCGGAGGTATGGCTTCGGGTGTTTTGCATAGAACTTGTCCTGACGCTCAAGCAAGAACATGAACAGTTCATTCATTTCACCCGGACATTCTTTAAGACGCCGCTTTAGATCATCCTGGTCGTCCCCCTGGCTTGCAGCGATTCTGAGGTCTTCCACAACAAGATAAGCCCATAAAAAGACACCTTCAGCCCGAAAAGCTACTTCCTCCGCAAAAAGAGCAGCTCTAGTTGTAGCGAGACGCACATTGCAATGCGCCCTGATATCCGTCCCATTGAAGTCTTGCAAGCGCAGCGATGGATATTTCTGAAGAGCGCGCGGAAAGGGAGCCTCTGGTCGACTTGAACAACAAATCTTGATTTTGTTGGAGCTCTGGGTAATGAACTGGATTGCGTCGAGCAAACCTTCGGGATCATTTAGCACTTCATCAAGCCCGTCAATCAACAAAAAGTAGTTGAACACAGAATGAGTAAGCAAGTACCGTAGCCACGATTTCAGTTCGATGTTTGTCCAAGACTGAGCACGAGAGCCCGATTCGACAAGGCAAGCGCGCAGGCTGTCGGGAGCTGAATGGTTCATATCAGCTCGAATTTTTCTCACAATGTCCGCGTCCATGTCAAGAATCTGAAAGCATAGTGATCTCCAGAATCCATCCAGAGATTTCAATAAACGGCTTGCGGCCGGTCTGAAAAACCAGAAACTGAGTAGGCGGACAGGTTGCGGTTGTGCCCATGCTTCTAAATGGACAAGCCCTTGTCGTCCAGATTGAAGATTTTGATAGATAAAGTCCATTAGTGTGCTTTTCCCGCTGCCAGGTTTTCCGTTGATCCAAAAGACCTCTTGTCCGGTCCGAAGCCATTCGACGAACGCATGGCGCTGTTGATTGCGGAAAATACGAGCTTCCTCATTTGGAGGATTGAAAACCCAGGCATAGGTCTTGCCAAAGTCGACGACGCGCCCCTCGATCATGTTGCGTCGTTCATTCATCTCCGGAAACGCCAATGCGTCGAGAAGGCGGTCTCTAAGAGCATCCTCTGCTTGATCCTGGAAATACTTTGTCTGCATATTATGCTTCTGAGCAGCATCCTTCAGGAGTGAGTCTTGGCCATCGAAGCGATCCACCAATCTAGCCTCTGCGCCTCTGACTGTGGCTGGAATATCTGTTGAGAGCATTCGCATGCTTCGTTCAAGCTGTACATCCTGGCTAGTGAGACGCGCTGCCAAAACTGTTTCTGAAGCTTTAACCGATGCTACGAGATCGTTCGAAACAGCCTGCAAGCTGCCCAAGACCTGGGCGATGGCGTCTTTCTGGCCTTGGGATAGAACTTTAAACTCGTCTTTCCGCGTCAGGTCAACCTGACCAGTCCTGATACTGGAAAAGAGAAATCAGCATAGGGGAACTGACAGGATGGAAGGCAAGAATGGCAGGGACGACTTACTAGAGGTCTTTTAAGATGGCTGAGCGTAGGGCGGCATCTTGCTGTTCCAACTTCTGCCGCAGACTTTCGATGACGCCCCTCTTGAAAATAGCCTTCAAAGTCGCCCTGAACGCGCCACCGATCTGCTTGTTGCCCTGTTTCTTGGAGAGCTTCAACTGGTTGAGGACCTTTTTGAGCTCGGCTGTAGTCGCGGTGGCATCATTTACGACCCTCTGTAGCCGCGCCGGATGAGTGGACGGTGTGACCTTCTGAGCCTTCAGTGTAGCCTCTAGATCTTTGTTGGCAGCCGCGATGTCATTGGCGTACTCTTCAATCTTGTTGTTCTCGTCCAGCGCGCCTCGCTCATAGATTTCCTTGCACACACTGGCAGCCTCGATAGCTTGTTCAACGAGCTGGGTGACGTTGCAGGCAAGCGCTAGGGCGGTGATGGGGTCCATCGCATTCCACGTCGAGGCGGAATCAGGAGGCTGAGGAGGTCGCTATGTCGAACGTAGCTAGCGGCGTAGGTGGAGGACAGAGTGCCTCTGTTTCCAAGGCAAATGGAATGCTTGTTACCAACGAAGATCACCTCCGTTCTCACAGTGAAGGACTTCGAGTGTGCCACTTATTTTTCAATTCGGCTTGCAGGCTGCGCTCTAACAGAAATAGCTCTCTTGCGCAGCCGCTGCGCCCGACATTGCTGCCGAAAACTCGATTGGTCTGCGGCTGCATGAAGGCCTAGCCATCTTTGGCGGGCGCAACAGGTGTTGATCATGGCCTTGTCGACAAGCCTGGGGTCAAGGCTGCACCGTGGATTAGCGCTTTTCTGTGGTGCTTTCTGATATCCTCGATGACTGGGATGAAAGACCACTGAGTGGCGTAGTTTTTGATACGCACAAAGGTGCCGAGTAGTTGGGAAAGTCAATTCAGCTCGCTTGCGGCTCTTGCCGAATATATGGGGCTCGTTGCTTGAGATCGAATGCCTACTTGTACAAGTGCTAGGGCCACTAGGCTTGCCGGTTCGCCGCGGATTTTGGAAAGAGTAATGACTTCGAACAGTCTCTCAACATATATTGCAGCATGGAAAGTCTGAGCAAAATCGTGAGAAAAATATACCAGGCATGATGATCCCTTCAAGTCTCGGCTTGACTGACCCTCCTTTCGTAAACTCATTCAGCCACATTAGAACCTCTTCTTTTCATCGTCGATAACATTCGCAGCATACTTCCTGTCCCATTTTTTTAACCTCTTCTTTTTGCTCGCCAGGAGCGGCTCAATGCTAGTAGAATCCTTCACCGACCGCCATGTCGACCTCTCTCCTCCTCTGTCGGTCGATCTTGGGTTCCGGCACTCCTTGCTGAGTGGTCATGGCTTCCATCTTCCGGAGCAAACTGCCATCAGTAAATTCGCTCGTTGGCGCGAGATCAACCAACGGCTTGCCTGGCACACCGTGACCTGATCGCTGACCGCCCTGAGCCCGGCGACTGGCACTACGGGCTAGGAGACCAGTTCCAGTAAACGGACCGTCTGCATCATCGATATTACCATTTGTTGCTGACTCAACCATAAACTTTCGCGGAAATGCCGTGGGTGGAGCTCCTTGTGATCTCGAAGGAGCTTTGGGGCTGGCCGTTTTTTCGTCAATGCTCGGTCTCTCGGGCACGAAATCAATCAACGGCCTCAGGTCGTCTGGCTGTGACGCCCGGTGCGCCACATCCGATGCTGATTTTCGGCCTCCGTCCAAAGCAGAACCCAAATCCAGCAGCGGTTTGAAAGAACCGAGCACATAAGGCAACGATTCTTTGGAATCCCTTGTCCCCGGCCTGCTTCCTAGCCGTACTCTTTCCACCGGTTCAGTCGGTTTCTGTTGACCTTCACCAAGCATGTTGGCCAGGTACCAACTCCGCCATGAATGAACGGCATGATACCATTCGTCGGCGACCGTCTTGTCCTTGGTACAGAAGAAGTGCACAAAATTTGCCCCGTCTAGGAACATGGCAGACTTCGCCTGGCTTTTCAGGGCAAAGCCCATCTTCTTCGGAGGCTTGAGCTTTTTGATCTGTTTTGCGGTGGGGGCGTACAAGTCAAAGTCCGACAAGTGACAGATATTGGTGGAATCGATACCGCTCTCATTCTTGGACGTGGTGATCTGTCCGTCCTCTCTCAATTTTAACCAGCGTTTGTCCCACTTTCCAGCCCGCTGCGAATGGTAGATGTGGACTACGGTCCCACAAGGCTGTCGCTTGGGAGCGTCTGCGAGCTGCAATCCCGGGGCAGCACATTCGCCTTCGGCCATGATGAAGAGATGATTCTGAGTATCATTGTCCCAAGAGTTCATCACATCACGTATCCGCTCATATCTTCGGAGCGGCCTCTCTAGCCCAAGCTGCGAGAAGGATTCCAACAGGAGAGCCGTCCGAGGGTCAATCGGCTCGGACATGCAGAGGGAGGCGGCCCTCAGGATGTCCTTGGATGTGGTAGAGGGTGTGACAGGGAGAGTAATGAACGCTTCCTTACATTTGACGCTTACCCTCCGTTCCCCGGCGTTGACAGCCGATACTGGGGCGTCGAAGTTCGGTATGGGCACCGGTGCTTCACTGTCGGGCTTTTCGTCGATCTTACCGACGCTGTTGGTCCGAGCGTGACTTTGCTTGGGCTTCTGTCGCAACTGCTCAACCGCTGATGATGCCCGGCGGTGATGCGCATGTTTATCCTGTTTGCTCGAGGTGGTCTGCTGTCCACCAATGACCAGCGTACGTGTCCTCGAATTGTTCGAGTCATGAACAACTTCCGGCGTCGGCGGCGCTGGAGCTTCATCTTGTTCATCGATACTTTCCTCACGGCGCTGACTGTCTTTGTATCGGGCCAGATCTGATCGCTTTCTGGCTTCTTGTCTTGCAGCCTCCTCTGCTTCTCGCTGACGAGCCTCCCGTGCCAATTTCTCTTCTTGCCTCCTGCGCTTTTCTCGCTCTTCATGCTTCCGCCTGACCTCCTGTTGCCTTAGTGCTCTGACTCGGTCATATTCACCTTCCAAAATCAAACGCGCCTCTTCCCTAGCAGCCTCGAGCGACCTCCGAAGCTGTTCAGGTGACGGCTCTTCTATGCTAGAAGTCAATGTCTGCTTGCGGGGAGTGCTTTTGCTGGTTGTCGGCCGCGTCCCGGGTTGCGAACTGCTGTGTTCAATGACCATCCGGCGGCCGCCGTTGTCTGCCAGTCTGGTCTGGCCATCTTCAGTTGCGCTGTTAATTGTCTGGCCTCGGGGTCTCGAGACCGTCGCGCCATTGAAGGTGGAAGGCAAAGGCGGTTCGTCGGGCAAGGGCGCAGTTTGAGTCGCTGGTGGTCGGCGATGATATCTCGAAGGAAGGCGCGCCAAGGAGGTCTGTGACGTCTGCGGTAAGGGAGGGGGAGGACTTTGAGGATCGGGGTCTTTGACAGCGGACTTGCGGACCGATCTGTAGCGCAGGAACTTTTGAGGTTGTTGTGCCGATTGTGTGGACGGGTCTTGGGCGTCGCCGTTCATCTTGTAGCGAGGTCCACGAGATGTTGTGTGGGATGATGCATTGGTTGTCTTTGAGGGAGAAGTGAGCCAGAATGCCCCAGAAGAAAACGCCGTTCAAGAGAAAGTGCCGCGTGAGCAGATTGGTCCTCTGTATGTACCGACGACTCCGTACGGGGTAATAATACTACGATGCGAAGCGAATCTCGGGAAAACGAAACGAAGCGAGCAACGCGTCCCGACGCTTGTTTACAGTTTTGTTTGGACTCCAATCTGCAGCGCTGGTGATGGTTCCACTCGGCCACGTGCCTGCATACCTCGCCCGAGGATATGTTCCGACACCGAAAGGTACGGTGCATCATATGGCACGTATAGCTGTCGTCGGATACGACTATCCACACCTGTCGTGCAAGATCGCAGTTGTCGCATTCTATCAGGAACATCTTTGCTTTCAGATGCGTGGCTGCGGGATACGGGCTGGAGCTGCCCTGGAGGATGATGGTAACGATCACATATCAAGTGCGCTCTGTTGGATCCTTCCGCAAGCTTCGTCATGAAAAGCCCACACGTCGCTACGCACGCTTGACTCGCACACAGCCGGACGAGGTCGAATAATAACGACAAGTGCGTCGATCTAAAAGGACTCAGAGTCCCTGGGCGGAAAATCGCTCAGAAGAAGGTCGAACCAGCTTGATGCATTGCCTTTCCGGTGTTTAAATCCAGGCATACTAGCCTCTCCTGCTCCCTCTCTCCTTCTTCGCGCCACCATCACATCACGATACTCCGAGGATGCCAGCAGCACAGTCGAACTTCGACGCAAGCCGCTTTCTTCATCATGACGCTTGCGATATCATGCATGAGTACAGCACCGTTGCGGATGGCGCCCTGGACATGAGGATGGAGTTCGCCTTGATAGTAAGACAGGCACGGAAACTGTAGACCGAACCACTGGCCAAACAAGCCTAGATAGATCATCTCACCGCTCGACGCCAATGAGAGCTATCGTGCTTACAAAAAATCTGCCGAACTCGAGAAAGGCTGCACTATACGCAGATAGAGCATCAAATAAAGTGAGAACCGGACCATCTACGTTGGACGTGACAGCAGGACTTCGACTGTACTCGAGGGTAATGATAGGGCGACAGAGATCCTGTTAGAGGATAGCGATAGCGAGCAGAGGGGTTTCAACCTTAGTGGGCGGTGTATCTAGTACATACATGTATTCAAATATCTGAGACACCTAGCAACAGAAGGGTGGAGGTAGAGTATCAAGGCAGGAGATAACATAAGAAGCCTTACAATCCACAAGTATCACAACACAGAGTGCAATGCTAGCAGAAGGCGAACTATTTGATGTCTGAAGCTCGTTCTGGCAAAAAGAACAGCTACCCAGGGCCTGCAGATCAGCAGATTCAGACGAGCTGAGAAGGCCCACCGCTTTCCGTGCAGGTTTGGACACCATTCCCCGACCACTGGCATGGTCGGCCTTATGACGCATGCATTTGTAGCAATCGTAGTATGGTCTCCTCGTTCATGCAGGGCCTGTCCTTCAGGACCAACTGCCCGTCATCGCCACGTATCAAGGCTGAGTGCAGACTCGTTTTGCCATTACAAATCAAAAGACGACACATGTCCGTGTCCCCTTGAATGCCAGTCTGGTGCATGCTCTCTTAGAGATGGGGTGCCAGAAGGCGGAATACCGCTGGGTTGCAGGTTTTCGATACCTGGTGCAGGAGGTTTTCGCCACGAGGATTACCGTATTTGACGTATGCTTCGAAGCCTTCCTCCCCCAGAAAATACTCTACCACAATAACATGGTTTCTAAAAACAGCCTCTGCGATCGATTAAAGCCTCCGCAACAATTCTGTTTATAGCTCCATCTTATGCGGAGTTTTATCCAGTAAATGCTGAATTTCGAAGCTCGTAACTAGATTTATCTTCTAAGAAGAGTAGCCTAAGCCTAGATAAGTCGCTACACTAAATGTTTTGGGAGAGAGGGGCAGCGTTGATGGTGTTGGAAGAATCTTGTTCTCGCCGAAATCCGAGTTCTGGGGCATATCGCTGAGCATAATCTTTGAGCCATAGAGCGAAAGAAGCTGAGACGGTCATACAACCGGCTGTCAAATCCACACCTGGCCTTGGTAGCGCAAGCTGAACGGCGGTTTTAGTTAATACAATTGTCAAGCTGAATTAAACCCGCTTAGCATGGGCTCTCTATCTTTTGCCAGATGTTATAGATTTCCGCTCTAGTAACCACCAAGGTGCTCGATCCAATGGCTCCCTGCGTTACGAAGAACTGCCCGAAGCCTCGTTCTTTCGGATCACTGCGTATCAGGCTCTCTTCCCAGACCTCCCATGTGCAATGTGGATCATACTCGGATAGGTATGTGTTCTCGAACAAGCCGCATTCTTCACGCAGCTCATTGATTGCAACCTGCTCTTCAGAAAATAGATAAAAGTTGCCAATTGTATGCTAAGAGGCCTCCACGCAGGAGCGAGAAGCATCAAAGCTGTAACGACAAGCTTCTTATTTTCGAAAACATGTGATGATTGTCGTGAAAGCATGGTGAGATAGAGCTTCGAAAGCTCCTCGAACAAAGAAAATTCCTCTGAGAAACGTCGCATCGGCTCAACCGCGGTTAAGTATGTTGAGAACCTCAATGTGTTCAATTATCATCTTCTTCCAATATAGCACTTTCTTGCGTTAGCCCCTATTACCAATGATCTGGCATCTTCCGACAAATGATCCAGCGCCGTCTCGACTATGTGTCGAACAAGGAGAGTATCCCTGTGTTGGTCGCAATTAAGATAAGTCCCACTCACTGCGTCCAACTGCTCTAAAATCTCCTTTTCAGACCGCGAGGAAAGTTCGATTTTGAGCCTCTGATTCTTCTGTGATAACATCGTCAGCAATTTAAAAGAGCACTTCGCTATGCTCTATCGCACTCATCCAGGCCATCAATAACGACGAAGATTGAACGATCGAGAGTCTCGAGCATCGTCTCAAGGAATTTGCCTGGTTTCCTTGTGTTCGTTTGAGGCTGAAGAACTCAGCCTGATTCTGCTAATACCATTCATAGAATGGCTTCTTGAGACCAGGGAGCTGTTCAAGGAGCGCTAGGATCAGTGTAGAGAAGATGGGGCCACCCTGGCTTGACTGGCTGTCCCGGCATTAGTAGGAGTATGTCTTCGATTGTGGCATTTGGCACTCATTTCTTTGGTTCAACTCGTCCACGAGAAATGCCATGGTTACCGTTTCCCCAAAGTCCATATTACTAAAGAGCGCCAGGTATCGGGAATTGGAAGCACGATACCAGCCGATGAAGGCAGAGTGTTTGGGCAAGAATGCACAAGCATCGTCGTTGCGAAGTTTCTCCAAGCTGGCATGGTATTGACTCTGCAGAGTCGGCTTGTCACTGCTCAGCGGCCTAGCAACTGAGGTCGCATAAGGGAGCATCTATTCACCATATATGACGAGTTCACTGTTCACATAAACGTACTTTCTCTATCATGAAGCGTAGCTTTGATATCCTCAACGACTTCCCGTGTCACTTTTTCTATAAGTTTTCGCAATCAGCATGTCTCAAGAAATCTTGGACGATGTTCGGCAGGCGATCGGTCTCCAAGACCATCTTGATCACCAATTTCGCTCCTCTCTCCTGGTAAGAATCTCGTTTGCGACTTGGTAAAATTCTAGAATTTTCTCACACACTGACACCATTGTCTGCAGGCGATCAGCCAAAAGACCTGAAATGTATGGAGGATTATCTTGTATATGTTTATCCTATTAGCTCTCTGTCCAAGTGTATCGCAATCATGAATATAGGAAATTTACTCTAGCATTTCTCCGATCTGCTTCACAAACCGCAAGTCGCCGGTTGCAAAGCTTATAGCGCTCTGTGTTCGGAAAGGTCAGTAACACGACATACTTATTCCCATAGACGCAATGCTTTATAAAGACTAGCTCAGCACTGTCACCTTCTAAAACCGCTTCTGTTAACACTAAAATGGGGTTGTCCTAGTTGGATCTAATGTGCTCAGTGGACACGTTAGGTCTAATGCTAGCTTGAATCTCTGAAGCGGCACTTGTATTGAGCGTTGATATGCCACATCACGAAGGAAAGCCGACTCCGGTATCGCATCTTTGTCTAATTTCTCCAATGAGGATAGCTACATCGAGGCCTTCTCCCAGACTATCAATTGCTTCACGATAGGCGGCGCTCCAAAGATCTGAGGAGAGAATCATGCTGCCCATGTCATCACCACAATTCGACTGACGGGCAGATTTGAGTCAGGATGGCTGGTGTGAATGGCACCCTGCTTCGTTTGCGAATGAGGTTAATGGTCTATCGCGACAACCGACTCCGTAGACACGTCGTGTGTGTAGCTGGACGGAAGCGAGCCGCCATTATTTGGCTTGGTTGGCAAAAATCACTGGCTTTATGTTACTCACTTTACGACATGTGAATGTCCGTGGGGAATTTGAGAGAAGATTGCTAGCTTGGTCCGAACAGAACAGGCCATAACCGAAGAGAAACATGATTGGGGACTGTCAGCGCGTCAATCCTAAGCAGCCGCCTACTCATTGAAACCAGACACCATTTTCCGTTTCTGCTGGCACGTACATTCCGCATCTTCATTATTTATGACAGGTGAGAATCGAAGACTATTCTTCGCACAACAGCACGTTTATGCACTACCAAGGTCGCATCGTCATAGAACACAAAGACAAAGAAGCCAAGATCTCGACCGATTCCTCACAATTGGGAAACTCAGCTTCGAATGATTTTTTCGGTTTACCAGAGGCCGTCTACAATAAGATTCATGAAAAGGTACTCATCGTATTGCATCCGATCTATCTTTTCCAAGACCCAGGCGGTCCAGTGGGTTGTTATGCTCCCGACAAACCTCTGCACTGAGTGGCATTGCTATACACCGACTGGCAAATATCCGCTGATGCTAGCGCAGTGCTCTACAGGGTGAACCATTTTGAATTTGTCGATATCTCAAAGCGCTAAACCGACGTCCTGCGGTCCTTTCTATGTGGCATTGGATCAGTGAATGCAGCTTCACTATCCCGTCTATGCAATCAGCTTTCCGACCGCGATGAGTATGGATAAGGAGCCGGGAAAAGTCGTCCTCAGGGACGGCAGCTTGCAGATTTCGAGGGGTTTCCAAGACAATTGCAAAAATTTATCAACGTCAGAAAGCGTCGCCGATTACGAGAATTCCGGGGGTTTCACTAGGCCAGACCAGTTTCTCCGAAAGGCATTTACAAGAATCAACGCGCAGCTGAAGGCCGTCTGCTCACTCCAAAAGATCATCGTCCGAGTCGATGTCCAAAGTGGCCTTCCTAGGTCTTCAACAAAAGATATGATGCAACAGCTTGGACGGTTAGTCTTGTCTCCCAACGAAAATTAATGTTAGCCAGCACAATTGACAACCTCCTGAAGCAGCTGAATCTGCTACGATTTGTGAGTGAGTGACCATTAAGGCATGCAAGAACAGCCTTGTCTTACGACCGCAGAGTTTGGGAAATACACGAAAGGATTCACAGATCAACAGATATTAGGAAAGAAAGATAGCCACGATTCCTGAGGGTGATTGATCAAGGGTGAGCTTTGCGGGGAAACGGGAACTATCACGTACCACAGCACTTCTCTGCTAGGTGTGGACCAGGGAACTTAATTCTGCGAAAGCTAATCAACAAAGAAGGCAGAGGCGATATAAGAGTAGCTAGCGAATCGGACCAGCCAGATCAGTCTTCCCACTGCATGAGTATCTGGATCGATAACAACCAGACAAGCAGTTCTTTGTCTCCCTTTTCTTTATTTCGGTAGGACCGAAGCGACGAGCTGTCCTTCTCGACGGTCTCTAAATTTCAACATAATAATGGGTGACATGAAAGGTGAAACAAAGCTTAGTTGCACCCAACATAGCAGAGGCGTTGTAGTGACACTCGAGAAAGGATTGTTAACGGATGATCGCAACGACGTACTTGTATCCGTGCGCAGCGGTGCGTTGGTGACTTACAAACGAGGTGGTCGTGGACTCTGAAAAGTCACGTGTCATGACTAGCCGGAAGCGGGATGAGCCTCAAGCCGCTTTCACCCATCTTGGCGTCGAGCCCGGCACCACTTCCCGTTGCCCGTCATTGAACTTTTTCCATCCTGCGCTTTCTTCTTCTGCGCCCAGTTGTGGCCTGTGAACAGGACAGGCAAGATGGCTATCAAGTGAGATGCCGATGGAATGTGCGTGCGATCCGGCATACTGACGGAAAACAGATATCTCATCTTGCTTTCCCGCCAGGGCAAAGTGGTAGGCACAATACCCTCTTAAGTAGTTGCCCTCCACAGTTCGTTTCGCTGACTTTGATCGGATGATTTATCCAGAGACTGGCGAAATGGTTCACCACTCTATCGCCCAAGGAGAAGGCCAAAATCATCAAGGACGTCTCTCAACTAGTTCTCGCTCGGCGGACTCGAATGTGCAATTTTCTCGAATACAAGGGTGCGGATGCCCATTTCTCAACCCACCTGCTTCCTCTCTGTTTCCCCCACCCTTGGTGTGCTCCTTCTCTTCTCTTCGCTTCTCAATCTGAGGCTGACTCCCGTGCTCCTTCGGTTCAGATACCAAGATTGTCTATCGTCGCTATGCATCTCTCTTCTTCATCGCCGGTTGTGACTCCACAGACAACGAGTTGATCACCCTCGAGATCGTTCACCGTTATGTTGAACAGATGGATAAATACTATGGGAACGTGTGCGAACTGGACATTATTTTTAACTTCCAAAAGGCCTACTTTATTCTGGACGAACTCCTCCTGGCTGGAGAGTTGCAGGAAAGCAGCAAGAAAAATGTGCTGAGGTGCATCAGTCAAGAGGACAGTCTCGAAGATATGGAGGTAAGCCAAAACGTTGATATTTCCTCAAGCGTATCCCTTTGAGGACCGCCGAACCCTGGGCTGGATGAGCTGTGCCACGGAACGATATTTTCTTGCGTCAAGCGACATTCCACCTGCGCCTTTCCTGCGGCGGCGGTATGCTCTTATCTCGTGTTCCTGTTGTGTTTGTTGAGACTAATTCAGTGTGTCTCCTGTCGAACCAGGTCGAGGAAGAAGTCACCAAAATCATGTAGAACATGATGCCGACGGCCACTGTGCTGTTCGGTGGCATGTCCTCTGGTGCCGATCTTCTGTGAAGGGGGCGACATCAGATCTGATCCTGCGTCAAAGCATGTGTCGCGAGTGCTTCCAAATCATGAGAATACGCCATGATTGACAAGTCTTTATTTTGCAGACCACCGAGGAGGCGCTGAAGAGAGGCGGACTGATTTGACCGGTGCCGTCGCGATGTCCTTGGTCGAGCCAGGAGTTTATGAGATGGCGTTCAGAAAGGAAGATACCCCGGGAAGGACACATGGACCTTGCAAACAGGGTCTCTGCTTCAGTCGCCTCGTGCGACGGAAACATGTCATGTACAGTACACCGCGAACCAGGTCATAAGACAATCAAAGCAATACCCAGAGCACCCAGAGTTAAGATACACCATCCCTCTTTGGCGAGCTAACTCAAACAGTGACCTGGGAAGCCTTGGATCGCATATTGCTACGATTGACCCCTTCCTCACATTCACCCAACCCCAAGCTGCCATTGACCTCATTACTCTCGCCCTATGCTTGGTTTAAATTGAATTGCCGTGAGTACGGAGTCCGGAATCCATTGTCATCGTCCGCTGCTGTACATGTGCGAGGCAGGATCCGCTTATTGGTTGTTTGCGGGGTGCACGTGACAGCTCAGCCCCAGGACCTCGAACCTCGCTCGCTCCCCATCTTGTTTCTCCGCCCGGCTTCACATCGTCCATCTTACAACCTCATCCTGCTCTACCTTCATCATCCGTCAACCATCGACCATCTCTCATGGAATCTCATCACCCTCTTGCGACCTGCTAGGCGTCCATCGTCTAGCTATCCGAATCGCCAAGAGCTGCCTCTGCAGCCAGCCCTGGTTAACTCTTTGTTCGCGATCGCATAGCCGACTCAGGTCACCCATCCCACTTCAGACTCCATTACTTGCGCCGCTGCTGCCATTCCAACGTCTTTGCGCAAAGCGCTCGCCGCCGGTTGCAGGCCATCTGTCCTGCATCTATACTGCGAACCGACCTCTGTTCTACGTCCGCCGAATGCGATGCGCCAAATCTGACGCGGCTTGACCAGACACCGGCACCATGAAGGTAGGCAGACTTATTCTCACCGTCAGCAGATTTTGGCTGGTGTTAACACATGCATCTAGTTTATGCCAAATCGCGATCTCGACACAGTCACCTCCGCGCTCAACTTCTCCACCCCAGACCTCCATGTTGTGGGGGGATGCGACCTATACACCACCAAGGCAGCCGGAGGAGACAAAAAACTATACAAGAACATTGAAAATGGCCTTGAAGCACAATACAAGTCGAACCTCCAGTTCTCCAAGTCGCTTTCCCCGCCCCAGGCGCATGTGGTGGCCCCAAGCCTGAATCTAAGTCGAAACAGTCCGTTCGGGAACCTAGGAATGATCAGCTCGAGGAGAACATATGCGTATCTGATAGCGACGCTGAACGCCAGTCATCCCCACTACGACTTCTCTCATGTCTTGAGGCCCACAGACTTCAAACGAGAGAAGAGCCTACGGCACGTCATGAACACCGTGGATACGACCATGTACAATCTCCACTCGCGGCCTTTCAACACCTTCTCCAAAGATTCCTCCGGCCTTACTTCCACTCAGCCGCAATGGGGTCCGGCGATGTGGAGATTGATTGATCAACAAATGAGCTTGCGCGACTGCGCCGTATATCGCTACGCGCCAGAGGATTTTGATCCTTTTGAGGATGACGATGAGGGATCGATCTGGTCGATGAACTATTTCTTCTTTAACAAAGCGAGGAAGCGTGTTTGCTACCTGTATTTACGAGGCATTAGTGTCTTGGCCGTCCCTACCATCGATGCACTCCAGTCGCCTATGAGATCTAAGCGCTTTGCCGATGAAGAGGTGGATGGGTGGATCACTCCTGACCTCGGCGCCCACAAGCGAGCAAGATACTGGCTTGGTGATCGAGATGATGTCGAAATCGCCGAGCACGACGATGGAGCCGAGGAAGATGCCGGTATGGCGGTGACGTCGGTTGAGAAAGACGACAATCCCAACGGTTCTCCTGTTTCTGAAACTAAACGGCCTTCACAGGACCGTGGATATCAGTCTGACGAGGAAGACTTCCCGCCGCCAACCCGGCCAGTCGTCGACGAGCATGACAATTACCTGCTTAGTGACGAAGAGGTACGGAGCGCGAGAAGTCAGAGCAAGAGCACGGCCCGGGGAGTGAGCGAAGAGGTGATGGGCCCTATCGAAGTATAAGGGAGGTAGCTCGTCCTGTTTTACATCACATCTCCTCTTCCCTATGCTCAGTGATCAGCCGTTTCGGCTCTTTGACAGAGTACGAGGTTGTCCCTGTGTTTTGAAACCGCAACATCGGGAAGGAATGTTTTGATTTTCTTCAAGCTTGCGTTTGGTTTTGTTGTACTAATAATGATACCTGAAGGAAGCATGGGCGTTTTCGGCAAGGCCGGTGGGAGCGGCCTTTGACGATGACCTGCCTGGATCTCGACGTCGGTATGGGTTTGACGAATTTTGTTTTCAGGGAGTCATTGGAATCTTGGGAAAGGAACGAGTCTTGGGATGAAGGACATTTGTGTTTGGAATATGGCAGCCTGTGTCCGTTTGGGGCCAGACGTCGTAGTCAATCTCCGAGACTCGATAGGCACGTACCTGCTATGGCACCTTTATCATAGCCTCCTGTTGTGGAGGGATGTATTTCGATCTCGATTGGGGTACATGTCAGCTTTCAGAGTGACGCGCATTAAATCAACGTGCCGTGTTCTTAAGAGCCTGTGTCTCCGTCATGCATTTACTCCTACTCCTCTTCGTGTAACCTAACCACCTCACTCCTGGCACCTCAGCCCGCACCCGGCCCCAATGTCATGGTGAGGCGTGGCCATTCCCCCCTCCGCCAGTCAATCTTGGCAACTCCGCTCTCTCCATCTATGTATCTCCCTCATCTCTCCCCGACAGCCATAATAAAAAAAAAAAGCGGCCAACAAGAAAGACAAAAAAACTCCCCGACAGGGAATCGAACCCTGGTCTCCCGCGGCTTGTTTCTCCAATGAAGAGATGACAAGCGGAAACTGTTTGTGTGTTAGATTACAGATCGAAGGTGAGGAGGGAATGGGTCTTACTCATGACCACTAGACCATCGAGGACGTGCGACGTTCTTGGCAAGAATTTTTGCTTTTAAAACTTATATATTAAATTCCTCGGGCTCGCGATGTTGGTGGTACATATGTGGAATACTTCGGTACCACCAACATGTCTTGAGATTTCCGAGGATTGTCGTGAAACCTTTATGTAGCACCGTGGACGTCCTTCCCTTCCGCAAGTGAGGGAGCAGATTCTTGCTATTCCAAGTGACAAGTTCATAAAAGTTCACTTGGTACCTATCTGTAGTGATGCGGGTGGTTTACAAGCATAATTTGCTTGGAGGCGGTGATCGATCTACCCAATCTAACCTGGGTACTAGCCCTATATGCGGGATTACAATTCTTGACCCCCCCAAGACAATCAGACTTTCCCCGAAGTACGTCTGATACTGCATTCCCTGGAGAAAAGCACATTCGATGAGAATAAGCCAACAACAGGGTACACGGGGAAAGTCTTGATGGATGCGTTTTGAGACCTATTGCCGCTCCGTGGTGACTGGTTTGTATCATTTTTGATCAAAGCGTGGAAATTGCCTCGGGTCCGAAGCATAACCATGAGCGGCCGCATTCCTTGCAAATATGTTCACAGAAAGTTTGCAGCAGGCCCATCATGTGTTCTCTCACAGGTCGCCAGCCATTAGAGGAAGTTCCAAATGACGCCCTTCTTGTGCAAGGCAAGTCGAGACCGGCGCACGAAGCGCGAGGGAGGAACCTCTTGAGTCCTCAGATCATGCACACGGCGTGCCCAGGTATTGGTGGCACGCGGGACGACGACAGTCCGAAGATGGAGGGACACGCTCTCTGGGAGGAATGATATTGTTCTTTCCAGGCGACGATGTTGTTTTAAAGCGTAAGTTTGGTTTTCAACAAAGCTCTCAATCACCTCGTGCGGTTGTCAAGACTTATGTTCTTCCATAGAAAATATCCCCGGTAGTTTTTCAGGTGACGATCCAGAGGCTGAGACTTCTGAGGCCGAGGAAACGTACCATGTAGTCTATTTAGAGAGAAAATAAAAGTCTTCGAGCGGAGCTTCAGCTATTCGCACAGTTCAAGGATTGTAAAGAATTCGGAAAGACGTGACTCTTAAGGATGCCACAATAACAATGGCGGAGATAGACTCCAGGGATTGCGAGCATAATCCGGGGATTATTGTCGCGGACGAACAAGACGAAGGGAGACCTGGTTGCGCTCAGCCTGCAACAGGAGGCTATTTGGCATCATCATGAAATTGATTGTTCCTGAAGCCTCGTTGAATCCCCAGATAACATTGTTCTGCAAGACTCCAGTGCTCTCGTCAAACCGAGAGTACGGAGCACATTCCTTGGTGTCCAACTCCCGGTTTCAGAATGCGAACTCGGTAACGAAAGGATTGATCTTGGGGATCGGATGATGCAACACGTGATGGACAAAGGGGCTTAGAGGGTGGTGGGTGGCAGTGGTGGCAGTGAAATGGTTGATGGTGGCGCTTGGTGGTTTGACTCTGGACCAACTATGTACCAGTAAGTACCTTGCGAGGACCTTTTTCCACCTAAATTAAGTGCCTACCAATTGGCAGCGAGGAAAGAGCGTGCGGATTTGCCTGATATGGAATCTGGCCAACTTGTTCACTCCTCGTCTGCTCACTAATGTCAACTAATACCAAATAAATTGTCCTCCAGGCATTTCCTTTTCCCATACCTGTACTCTACATATTTCTTTCCCACCGTTCGTCGTTTGGTCCTTTCTCTTTATTTGCATGCGGTACCGCCAAAATACCGCAAGATGCGCCTCCAACGGGCCTCGCACTTTTTCCTTGCCTTCTACCTCGTCTTCCACTCGCCCTGCGTCCAAGCAGAATCTCAGTGTGCTATAGACCCCAATTCAATCGTGACCGATGCCTGCACCTCATACTCGGATCTCGAGAGGCTAAATGCCAATCTCTACCCTTCGTTAGACGACTTGACACAACATACCGATTTCTTCGCATACTACAGATTGAACCTGTACAACAAAGCCTGTCCCTTCTGGACCGATGAGAATTCCATGTGCGGCAACCGTGCGTGTGCCGTGGAGACAATAGAAGATGAAAGTGACATACCGCCAATCTGGCGAGCCGCAGAGTTGAGCAAGCTGGAGGGCGCGAGGGCGAAACACCCTGGAATTGCCCAGCAGCGAGAAAGACCCAAGAATCGACCGCTCCAGTATCAACTGGGCGAAAACGTGGATGAGAGTTGTGTGCTGGAGGAAGACGACGAATGTGACCAAAGGGACTATTGCGTACCCGAAGATGAGGGCGCTGCGGCGAAAGGAGACTATGTCAGTCTTGTTAACAACACGGAACGATATACCGGCTACTCGGGACTGGGTGCCCGACAAGTCTGGGATGCTATATACAAGGAGAACTGCTTCACTCCAAAATCCTCCCGGCATGCCTCTCTGAAACCGAAGCCTCTCCAAGCCGCACAGAGCCTGAAGAACATCTTCCAAGAGTATGGACGGCAACACGTAGACAACTCGGACGACCTCTATCCTCTCGACGATGAATGTCTGGAGCAACGAGCATTCTATCGCATCGTCAGCGGCATGCACGCTTCCATCTCCACACACATTTGCTGGGAGTTCTTCAATCAAACTACCGGCGAATGGGTCCACAACCTCGAGTGCTACAGGGAACGGCTGCACAAGTATCCAGAGCGCATTTCCAACCTCTACTTCAACTATGCCATCCTGACGCGTGCAGTCGCCAAGTTGAGGAAACATCTCGAGTCCTACACATTCTGTTCTGGCGACCCCGACCAGGATTTCCAAACCAAACAAAAAGTCCTGGCACTCGCGGACCAAGCAGCATCTGGCCCCCACACCTTCGATGAATCCATCATGTTTCAAGACCCTTCGGTCATGGATCTCAAGGACGACTTCCGCAACAGGTTTCGTAACGTGTCCAGGTTGATGGATTGTGTGGGATGCGATAAATGCAGGCTCTGGGGAAAGCTGCAAACAGCTGGGTACGGTGCTGCATTGAAAGTCCTTTTCGAGTACGATGAGAATAAAAATGGCGAAAACCCTCATTTAAGGAGAACGGAGTTGGTGGCGTTGGTCAACACACTGGGTCGTCTCAGTCACAGCCTGGATGCGATCCAAAAGTTCCGCACCGCTCTCAAGACCGGGGATTTGAGCGTGCTGGACATTGACGGCCCGCTACCAGTCTCGACAAAGAGCGACACCGAGATCGATCCGGCCGCTACCGAGAGTTCAGAGCAAATCACGGAGTTCGACGACCTGTACGATGATGTAGATATCCAAACCTCGCGTCCTCCGCCTCAGGGGAGTGTGCTCGCCGAAGCATTCTGGACTGAGCTCGATCTCGTTTGGCGCACCTACAAGATGGTTCTGCGGTCTTGGGTCGAGCTGCCGTTCAAGTTTGGGGCCATTTTCCTGATGGAAATGAATCGCTTGTGGAATTTCTGGTTGGGGCTGCCGGTGCCGGATCGGTCGTGGGATTTTCACTTTCCCGGCCGGGATGAGCTGTAGAACAGCTCTCCCCATTTCACGCTTGTGAGTGGGGTTTTGTTGACGAGGACATTGAGGACTCATTTCAGCATGAATTGGCGAAGGACCTGGCGGTACCTGACGTCTAGCGTACAGCTGGTTATTTGATTATGTGCATAGCGACGGCTTGGGCTTGGGCTTGGGCGTGGGCATGGGCATGGGTACGGGAACATACATGCACAGGCACGGTTTGAATATAGATGTAAATAACAGGCGGTGAAGTGTGCGCACTTCAAGTCACGAGGAAGGACTTCTCCTGTTGGAATCTCACTTTTCTCGTCACGAATTCTAGCAGTTGGTTGCAGTACGAAGTGGTTGCCCCGCACCGCAAGCGCCGGAGGACAAGGAATAAACAATTCTCGGGAGGCTTCTCATTTACGCGTCGCGCCTCCTCCCAACGCGTTCAACCAACCTTTGTCAGAGGCGCAGTCCATCGCCAACAGACAAATGCACAGAAGCCCATGTACTGTGAGAGTCTACTAAGAGCTCATGTCTGACCAATGCTGCCTCCGTCCTCCACGACTGCCGGCACGCCGTGCCCATTTCCACTCCAGGCCGGGGTGCAGTTGCAACCACAACGACAACAACAATGCTGCCAATATCAGCGCCAGCGTCCACTCGGCCGAGATTCAATCTTGTCGTCTCCAAGCAATGACACGACGGCAAACATTGAATTTACATCTGCTTTTGCAGCTCCAGCACCCGGCGTTTTGAGGAACGCTAAACCGCGACGCAGAAGACGGCCGGACGGCCTGGGTTTCATGATCCATGAGGACAAGACCGAAATTCTTGCTGCACAAAATGGTGATGGACCAGGCAATAGCAATGTCAGGGGGAATGGCAATGGTACTCAGAACAAGCAGATGAAGGAGGCCGTAAGGAGGAAGGCCGTGATGTCTCAACCACCGCAACGACCGAGAAAGCGAGCTGCCACTGGTTCTGCCTCTATTACGCAGGCTCCCTCAACTGCTGCTATTCTCGCTACCGCTTCAGCGGACGAGGCTGGCGGCATTGTACAGCCGCCGGTATTGAAGCGGGGCAGTGCTTCCACGAGCCTTAGTCAAGCTCCGCGACGACCAATAACAACCAAACCCGGAGCAACATCGACCGCGGAACTGCTGCCACCACCGCCCGAAAACACAATTGCTCTTCCGATGATGGATTCAACAACCACCCTCAAGCCTGCACGACGCGCTACGATCTATATCCCGACCGAGGACACCACCATGCCAAGCATATATATGGGCATCTTCAGCCCTATCAAGGGTCTTGATCCAGTGGTGAAGTCTGTCCCGGGAGTGGAATCACCCTTGACGGCTGCAGAACGATCCGGCAAACCAGATGTCGAACTTACCGGGATTATTGCGCAAATGGTTGCCAAGAAGAGAGGTGGAGGAGTGGCAAAGAGCGTAATGTCTCCGAAACGAATACCATTGCAGGTCACGACCAAACCCCTTCAAGAAAGCGCGGTAATGGTGGATCGTTGGGGTCAAGGCGGTGGAAAGGAGAATGTTCCCCCGGGTGAGGATGAAGTGCTCAATAAGAAAACGAGACCTAGGAAGGAGCTACTTGGACTTGGTGGGCGAAGTACTAAGGATCTAGAGCCTGTACGGCCACTGGCTCATCAGCGAGTCAATCCTCGGGCACGAGTTTCGCTGTTGCACGAACCCACGCCGGCCCTTCCAAGAAATGTCAACGACAACATCAAAAACAACGCTCAGAGTACCAGGACGAAGCCGAGCTGGAATGCAGGACCACGGTTGAAGAGCAGTCAACCGGGTCCAGCACCCATGATAGAAACCCTACAGCCAACGTCACGCCTCGGGGCAGGACAGGGCGAATCCCTCTTCAGGAAGCCATCAATTCCCAGTCGATTTGTTATTCCAAAAGTTGATCCTCCGCTGGTCAGTGAGTTATATCCCATTATCACCGAAGACTTCGTCGATCCGGCAATGTATGAAGATAACTGGCTTAGCCACCAAGAAATCGTCATTGCACAACTGGTCAACAACCTCTTTGGGGCGTCTACCCCAATATCATCGCCAGTCGAAGATGAAACGCTGAGGCTTCAGTTGCTTGAGACATATGGGGATCCGGGAAATGTGATGCTCTACAAGAGACTCCAGGGAGCTCTGTCATATGGTGCATTGAGTGTGCCCATGGACGTTCTGAAGGGTGCTGTGAGACTCAGCACCGACCTCGGAAAGCGAAAGACCTTCACGGATTTGTGGCTCGGCACCTATGACCTTCCATGTCTGCGATTGGCTCTGGAGGTTGTTGTTGGTCGACAGTGTTCGAGCTATGCGCGTGAATCTTCGTCGGTACGACCAAGCATCGACAACGGCCACGCTGCCAATCGACGCACGTTGCAACAGTTTATTGAGACCTTCCTCATCCGAAATGAAGATGGACAACCGGACGAGGCATCCACCGATCGTCCTTCCTGGTCTTATCAGCGCACACTCCTTCGGAGTTTGATGCTCATCAAGCTTCTGGACACGATGGCAGCTGCCCCAAGTCAGATGAGCAGGTGCTTGTTCCGGCCATCCTCATCGTACAAGACGTCTGTGAGCGTCGTCAAAGCTCTTTTCCAACTGCTCAATCCAAGCGCCGGGGACCCTATTCGAGCCTTGAACCATATCGGCTATGTTGTTACACACATTCAACATCCTCTTGCGGAATACTCGTACAAGATGGAAAATCTAGCAGTCGATCTGCGTGATGGAGTGCGTCTAACGAGGCTCGTCGAACTCCTCCTGTATCCCTCTGCATCACAGTCCCTCGAGCATGTGCATGATTCAAGTTCAACTACGAGTGTCCTTTTGCCGACAGGAGAAGAGCTGTCATTGACTGGAGGACACAGCGGTTGGCCGTTGTCTCAGCATCTCAAATATCCCTGTCCGGGCCGAGCGACGAAACTGTACAATGTGCAGATTGCACTGAGCGCCATACAGGGGGTCAAGGGGGTGGGGACTTTGGCCCAAACTGTCAAAGCAGAAGACATTGTGGATGGCTTCAGAGAAAAGACTGTCCGGCTTCTCTGGGGACTGACCAGCAAATGGGGACTTGCTGGTCTTGTGGATTGGAACGACGTTGAACGCGAAATTAAGAGACTGTGTCGCACAGGCGCCAGCAGTCACGAAAACGACTATTTCGACATGCTACCAGATGAGGAGGGTCATGCGCGGCACACCGTTCTGTTGAAAGCATGGGCTCAAGCCATCGCCAGCCGGGGCGGGATCCGGGTGAAAAACTTGACTACAGACTTCACGGATGGACGAGTCTTTGCAGCCATTGTGGAGGAATACGAGCAGTATCTCAGCTATGACGTCGGGCTACGAACGAGTTGGCCGCTTGCTGAACGACTTAGGCGTCTCGGATGCAGTGAGCAGTTTGCCATGCTTTTTGCCAAGTCAGATGGGCCCTGGCACTATGCGCACATCTTCGACCGGGACTTTGTGGTGGCCGCACTGGCATTCCTTTGTTCTCGACTTCTCAATCCGACCAAAGGAATGAGAGCGGCCGTGACGATACAGAGAAGATGGCGGTCGTATTGGGCACGAGCGGTCGACTCTCGCAAGTTGCAATTGCGAGCGGTTGCGGAGAGCTGCGCGAGAGTGGCAGTCGAAAGGGCGACAGGGGCGAGAAAAGGTGAGAAGGTACAGGAAGAGGAAGATATCTGGTTGAGTTTGTAACGGAAGAAGCCGATGCAAGAGTGTTTGCTCGCACGGGACTGATTTGTTTGATGTCAAGTCGTACGAACCAAATTGAAGCCCAAGTTTGCTGTTCGAAGAGCGCCCACAAGAGCCAGCCGGCAGCTGAATCATTGTTACACCAGGGTCTGAGTCTAATGAGTGAGTCTACTGTAGCAGTTGAGCGGGAAATTCCAGGATGTCAAATTATGCAAAAGGGATGAAATGAATATCTGGAACAGCAGCTGTCACGCCACCTGTGCTGCTCTCAGTGGCCGAAGTGGCAGGGTTAACGTTGTTCCGGCCTCTGCGCTAAGCCACTATGAGGTAACAGTCGGTTACACCAAACTTCACTTTCGTATTGCTCGTGCTCTCTGCGCTCCCTCTCCTCTCCCTTACTGCTCACACCCTAGTTCAGATCCCCAGGCCACCAGCAGCCGAAGCCCACTAGGCCGATCATCCACAGCCGATCACACCCATCTCTTGCTCTTCTCCAGCCATTCTCTCGATTGACTTTTGGATCACGACCGTCATCACCCTCGACCCTGCAGCTACCCTCGTTTGCTGCTTCCAGCACGAGCCTCAAATTCAACTTTGGTTCTCCTATCACGCCCACCGAGCCACCTGTCCTCGAGGTCCTTGCTACATCTTGCTGCCAGTACCGAGGATAATGTAATGGGCTCATGAATGCAGATTTGCCGAGACACGCTCGGCCGCCGTCACCCAAGGAGACCTGCTATAGCTGTCGACTGGACTGAAAATATCAAACTGAACCAATGCTTGCGAGCTCCCTCATCACGGTTTGTCGTCTGATTCGCAAACCAATTTCTTGATCTTCGCCGTCCGAGTCTCTTCGTTAGGTCGACTCCTGGCTCTCGCGGGAAGATTGCTAAAAGAACCAGAAACTGAAAATATGAGGAAAAGGGATCCCAAGCTGCTAGCCATCATGAGCTGGGCCGGTCTACGAGTAGGTCAGATTCTTCGCGAGATACCAGCGTCCATCTTTGTCGCGATCCAAAAATCAAGCCGTCATCAAATTTTTGGGAACATACACGGTAGGACCATCCAGCCTATTCCCCCTCTTTCTGGCTTCCCCCACTCCGTCCAACTTATTGGAGTTCCAACTATTTGGCTAGACACCTCTCAATGCCAATTGCCATTCTGTTGTAGGGTGGTCATGCCTCTGTCGGCATACGGCATACGGGCCTGTCAAAATCTGCTTTTACAGTTGACCTCCCGGAGTTTGTGATTGTTTACGGTTTGGCCGTTCAGTCCTTATTAGCATCATTTGGCGCACTCTAGTGTCGATTAGCATGTGCGATTGTCACGACTGCCCTCGCTCCTCGCGATTTCTATATAGTGATTGCTCGCCCTCGCTCTTCGAGCTCTTGAGGATTCCCTCTCGGATGACCGGGCATGGCTACCCCCATATACAGACTTCCACCAGAAACCCTTCAGAAAATCCTTAGTTACTTTTCCCTAGCAACCATTGTCCAATTTGGTCTGACTTCTAGGCGCCACTTTACAGCAGCAATCATGGCGGCACACCACCTACAGCTTGCTGTCTTCTCTAGCCGTCTCTATGGTGTCATGGCGTTTATCTCTTCTCGAAGGTCAGGAGAAAGCCACCTTAGCGACGCAAAGCCAGAGGATTACTATGATTGTGACGATGACGATGCAGACCCACGCTTCAATCAGCACATAGTCGAGGCATCACTACCGCGGCCAATATTCCCCGTGAGAAGAAGACCTCGTTCAAAAGTGATCGAGGACCGAATCCATGCCCTCGCGCTGCGACATGTTGGAAGGCTCATCCGCCTTCAAAACAGTATGGCATGTTCAGTTCTGTCAACGCCCACCTTAGCCAACTTGCAGACTCTGACTCTTTACATGTACGACCTCATGTCACCCAATTTGACTAGCATCCTGGCCACCTTTTTCCCCAATCTCCAAGAACTCCATCTCGGCTTCTGTCATCCCTATATTCACGACAGTTGTCTGCCCCCAAAATATTGGACTCATCCAAACTTTCTCGAGCCGACTACCCTGTGGGATGTCTTTGGCGGCATTGGCGTGGAGCATGCAGCCAATTTGCGCTTAAAGAGGCTGAAGAAGTTGACCTTGGAACGATCCGGCATCAACCGCACCCAGTTGCAGAAATGGATTCAGCGCAACCCGGATTTGACCGAGTTGAGGCTCCGACATGTGGCCGGAGTTGATGCCGAGTTTGTTCAGTGGCTGAGCACGTATTACCATTCCGACATCAGCGACTATCGTAACCTGGATGTTGCAAGGCCAGCCGAATTGAAGGTCCTGGCTCTGGAGAACTGTGCCACGTTGTCCCTTCAATCCTTGGAGGACATGAAATGGCTCGATCCGCTTTTCAATATACCTGGAAGACGAGCCGAAGACCATGACAAGACTACTGCATTCCAGATCTTGTCTTTTCGAGAGTCGACATCCGTCTCGACCTCGTCTTTGATGCAGTATCTGGCTATCATGCGTCCCAATGTACGCCAAGTCACCCTTCCCGATAGCCGTGTTCTTATTGAGAACACCAACGTCGGTGCCAATGCTGCCGCATCCTCCGGGGTGATCTGCGGCCCTTGAACCGAGTCCACAGACTTGGCCGGGGACGTTGCCAAGGACGGCTCACCGGTCCCATATCTTCACTTCAGAGCCCCCGAGCCATTGACTCCTCCTCACAATGGAATCATCGAGCCAGATCCAAGACATACGTGAGCTTAGGTAATTCACCATTCATGTCTTTCTTCATCTCTATTCACACTTGACTCCTTGTTATTGCTGCTGATAATGTTGTGGACTGTATCTTGTAAAACTGCTGGCAGGATTCTCCTTGATGTTTCACCGTCTTTTTTCTCTTCAATTTCATTTTTCTCTTGTCGCCGTTGGAAGTTGTGGGCCAAAAGGAACGAAACGGAGAAGAAATAATGGGACCAGCTTTTCGGGATTACAACTGTCTTTTCATTATTCCTGTTTTGTTTTGAATGCTATGACAAAACTTCTTGTTCAGCCCATCTGGCGGCATTGAGCTCTGATAAAAGGGGAAAAAAAAAGGGAAATGAGGAACGAATTTTTTTCGGGATCGGAGGCACGCACGTACGCCCTTGAGTTTCGGTTATCTCCGTTTCTCCTCAGACTGCTTCGAATATTAGGTAGTTGCTCAGTACGTACTATGTTTACAGGTGCAACTTCAAGTGGTCAGCACCCAGCAGCAACAACACTACCTTCAATAGGTACGCCACGCTGCTGACGGTGCTAAAAGTTTTGGACAACTACTCAATTGGATGCCAGCAAATGAGAAATTCCACACTCCCTTTTAGCTTGTTTAGTGGTTGTTGTGATCCTGGGCGCCCCTGCGAAGGACTTCGGGGGTCGTCAGAACATCACAGAGGGTCCATTTTGCTGTATTACGTTTTGCATGTACCTGTCCATCACCCTCAGAAGTTAAGTGCCTAGGTACACAGTCCATGCATGCTAGTTGCGGGACTGGACATGTAGAGAGGGGTTAAGTCTTTACTTTTTGGTCACCTCTTTCTAGGATGATGGCGTCGATACGTATTTGATTCAGTTACACCTCCAGAACAAGTTTCTGACAACTGACCCCTTCCTTCAACACGTCCAACGCATCATTCAGCCCGGCAAGCCCGCCAGGCATGACCCTCGCTTCAGGCGCCGGAGTGAAGGCGCCACTCGCCAGTCGCGGGGCCAGCCACTCCTGCATTACGAACTCAAAGTGCCGGCCGCCGGCGCCGGAACCTTCGGGGGCCATGACGAACTTGGTTTCGACATTGGGGTGCGTGGGCGTGGCCTCGTTGACAGGGATGGCGCTGGCGAGCTTACCCTTTTCCTCCGCGGTGCTGGACGCTGCGAGGACGTCCAGGCACGGTTGGATGTCGCCGATAGCGCGGTACGCCGTCTTCAACGCCACGCCGTCCTCCTTGGCCGCGGCCAGGATGTCCTGCACCACGGTGGCCGCATGGTAGTCGAAGACTCGCTCAGCGCCGAGGGAGCGAAGATACCCGTGGTGTTTGGGGCTGCATGTCGCGTAGACGGTGAAGCCGAGTGCTTTGGCCGTCTGCACGGCGCACACGCCCACGGAGCTGGACGCGCCCCAGACCAGGACGCCCTGCTTGTCCGAGGCGCTGAAGTGGGTGTCGTAGCGCAGCCCGATGCTGGTCCATCCGCTCCAGGCGGTGACAACGCCCATGGGCAGCGTGGCGGCGCCGACGAAGCTCAGCGTGTCCGGGATCACGCAGGCGTTCTCGACGGGGACGACGACTTTCTTCTGGAACCCGCCGTAGGGTGGTTCCCCTTGGTAAAAGAAGGCTGGGGCAAAGGCCAACACACGGGTGCCGGGCATGAACAGTGTCGCCGCGGAAGGCGGGATCGAAGACCCTAGAGCCTCAACGGTGCCGGCGATGTCAGAGCCAATGATTGCCGGGTAGCCCTTGACGAAGGCTCCCATGTCTCGCATATAGTAGTCGACCGGGTTCAACGCGATGGCGTTGACCGAAACGAGCAGTTCCTTGGGACCGGGCTGGGGCGTTTCGAGCGTCTGTAGAGTGAGCCGCTCGCCCTTTTGGAGGAGGACGGCGGCTTGGTGGCTGGCGGACATGGTGGGTGAAAGAGATATGATTACTCTGTGCGTGTGTGGACGCAGTATATCTTTGTGCTGTAATTCAGTCTCCTAGTAGGAGATAGGACACTTGAACCCATATTTATATTCTATGCCAACCCCCACCCACAGGATGAGTCTCTGATTTACCTTACCTCGAGCTAGCTATCTCTCGTTTTCAGTCCCGGAAATGCTCGGTTCTGGCCCGATCACGCCACGGGTGTGTGCTTGTTGGATGCTGTGCTGCCAATAAAAAGGCCAGAGGAAGTTCCAGTCGGCCTCCCGGCTCCGGAATCTCGATGTACTTTGTATCGAACTTGCTTGAAAACAACACGAATCGAGGATCGCTCAGGGCAACAGCGACCACAGACAGCCAATGAAGCAGACAGAATTCGGCCCTTGCAGTCTGCTTACCTATACAAAACTCGCCGAAGCCAGGGGCAATGAAGGCGCAATGTTGCCCCGATCGAGTTTACTTTTTCCGGACGGTGGTCTGCGACGGTCGAGAGAGCAGATTTATCTCCGAGAATTGTGCGTAAATCCGAGATCATGGACATTGGGTTGTGGGATTGTGACAGGACTTGATCGACGCTACGTAAGATGCAGTGTGGGACAAAAATATTGCTTATTTAAATAGTTATTTAAATAGTATTTACTATTTAAATAATAAATAGAAACCTACTATTTATATTTAAATAGTTTTAGTTATCTACTTAAATACTACTTAAATAGTTAGATAAATAGTACTATTCCTAATTAGGAAATATTGTTTAATTATAAATAGCTTTTAAAAATCTATAAATAAGTTTTTATCTAATTAGGAAGATATAAGCGAAAGCTTAGCTAGACTAAGTTAGGCGAATTTCGTGCTGTGCTTCACTTTACTACTTAATCATTAAATTTATTTATTTAGTTAACTAGTCACTATCTACCTACCTATCTACCTATATAAAAAAAAGATAAAAATAGGTGGAAATTGCCTAGCCTATCGTCAAGGGCGCCCCTACTACTAGTTCCTTAAGCTATTGGCAATAGCTATTTGATTCTATTATATAGAAAGTGAAACTAGTAGTAGGAGCTTTACAACACCTTATGGCAATAGCCTAAGGTCGGACCGCCCTGCTCTCTATTAGTTAAACTAGAATAGGGCCATCAATAGTACTACTTAGAAATCTAGCCTAACAGTACTAACATTCACTTATCTTCCACCTTAATATATTAGGTTAAGTGAAGGGGTTAGAATTAGAATAAGAAGGTTTGCCTCGTAGCACGTCAACTACTGTTTAGATTTCTAGACAATTTTAAGATGATTTTACGGTAGTGCAATATATATGTTCATAAATTCATAGATTTAATAGTAAGGTTCGATTCTTATATAGAACACTAGAAACGCCTTTTTTTTTCTATTATAACTTAATAAGATTTTTATAAGTTCTATCCGGATAAATAATCTTCCGATTATAAATATATCTCGTATAGATTATATAACTATAAGTATATAAATCGCGTATTCTAGATAGTTCGATTACTTATAAATCGTATATTCTAGACAGTTCGATTACTTATAAATCGCGTATTTGTTAAGGTTCCTACCGGGGCCTAACTAGGTTAGGGTTCCTAGTAACAATCCTAATAGTATGAACTGGTTAGGAAGAACGCAAGGTATGAGAAGTCACTTATCACTAAGAACTATAAGTCCAATAGTTAACATGAGTTGGCTACGAAGAGAGTGTAAGCTATCTAGGGGTAATGAAGGTGTATATATAATGCTCATGCTCTGTGCGCTCTGTGCGCTCTATACGCTCTATCCTAATAGGGCTAGTAGAGCTAATAGAGCTAGTAGAGTATATCACGTGACTTAGCCTTACTCTCTTACGGACCCTTCCATTTAGCCAATGAGTGTAGAGAGCCGCGCCCGTACAGCCCTCGGCCGGTCCCTTCTAAGGCTATATCTAACACTATTCTTTCTCCGGTTAGATCCTTATCTTAAGGATTTATCTTAGCGATGATATAAAAGCGGAACACTACTTAACTTAAATTTATCTAGGTCCGAAGATATCTTCTTCTTCTCTTTCTCTTTCTTTAGCTGTAGTTTCTAAGCTTCTTTTCCGTAGCCGCGACCGTCTCCTTGAACGTCTTCGTTAGTCTCGTAACGTTCGATTCACTGGTTATCGCGTTATGGTATCTTATTCGAATTACACTCGCTTTAACTCGATCTATGTAATGAAATATAGAGTCTTTCGCTATTCCGAGTGCCTAAAGAAGAATATAAAATACGATAGTTAGTACTTTAAGTCGAAGTACTAGAGTATTAAACGGAAAAAGTTAGAGTTGCGAAATAAGGTATAAGAGGCTTAGGCCCGTATAGCTCAGCGAGCTTAGTGATATACGGGGGAGATAGCTCGTTTAGTATAACAATAGTCCTTAGAGTTGTTATAAGAGTAGTCTCGTCTAAACTAGATAAAACGTTAGCTAAATAAGCTAACTTAAGCTTAGAGTGATATAATAGTCCGGGCTTACATAGTGTTAAATCGTCTTAACGAGGAGAAGGGGTATGCGCCGAATGAATCTAAGTCATCGCTAGTTCGTGGCGAATTTGCTTTCGACGATGGGTAGCTGGACGCTTTATTGGCGTTGGGAACTACTTAGGGTGATCCTTTTTTGCTTTCTTTAGAAGTTCTCTCGAAAGGTTAGTTTCTGATTCTTAGCTGTTCTCGCACTTATCGTAACCTAACTATTTAATTAGATACTAAGGAGTGCTACGTATAACGCGTTTTCTAAGGATCTTTTTAATATTATATTTCTCTAGTGTTAGTTCTTTATTCAGCGGTAGTGTCTTAACTAGTTTAGCGTTCTTTAGTATTAGTTTAAGAAGTGCTTTATGAAATATATTATATATACGTATATCTTTCGATAGTTCTAGTCGATATATGACTTTTCTAAGCTTATCTTTAATCTTAAATAGTTCTAGCTTTATATAGTTTAATTTTTCACTTAGTCGTTTTATTTTAATGTTTTTTCGTAAAAGATAGACGGAGTTTCTCTTCTCTAGGAGCGATCCCTCGATTCATTTCTTATTTACGTATTTTACTATTCTTTCTACGAGAAATTCTAAGTCTAATTTAAATTGGTCGTAAAGTTCTCTTATAGTAAGAGCTATACTTAGGGCTCTAGGGTTCGGGCTTCTATTTATCGTCTCCTCGAGTCGTGAATAGAATCCGTAATTCGTAAAGAATGAGCTTATTTCTATTGCTGATTTATGGTTATTAAAGTAGAATTATACTACTAGTAGTAGTCGTATTTAATTAGTTTAACTATAATCTATATACATTCGTAAGTATTATTCTAATGTTTAGTTAGTTCTTTCTATTTATTCATCGGTCTATGAATAAAACGATGTGAATAGCTTATGCTTCGTAGTTAGCAGTTCCATTAGTGCTTTTTAGAACTTAGATATAAAGAGCTTATCTCTATCTATAATGATTTCTTTTAGTATTTCGTAGTTAGTAAATACGGTTCGTAGGAATTCGTAGGCGAATTCTTCTATCGTTAACTTCTCTAGGTATAGTTTAAAGTAGAAGAACTTTATTAATCTATCGTATACTACGAGTATATTATTATAAGTTACTTTCGTGAGGGGTTCTTTAGACTTTAGTAGTTTCGTAATGAAGTCGAATATAATCGACGTCTATACTTCTTCTAAAGTCTATAAGAGCTATAGTAGTTCGTAAGATCTATATCTTATATATTTTATTTATGTATATATTTCGTATTAATTAATAAATTTCTAAATATCTTTTCTTATATACTTCTAAGAGTCGTGGTGCCTAGTGATGAGCTTAATTATCTTATCGGCTCCTAGGTGTCTCATTAGTAGGTCGTTATAATAGTGTTTCATTACTCTAAGTCGTGCGACTTTATTATATACTCGGTCTACGAAATAATATTCTTCAATGTTAGTTTTTAGTTTGTATTCGTAGTTATCTCGTTCGATCGAATCTTTAATGTTTGCTATTGTTAACATTAATTGTGCGTAGGTTATATAGTCTCCTTCCGTTCGTAGAAGGAATATCGAAGTTAGCCGAATATCTTTTACGTAATTTGGCCGTCGGCTTAGGGTATCTACTCTATCGTTTTCTTTATCTTTAACGTAGTAGATCTTAAAATTATACGGGGTCATAGTTTCCGCCCATCGCACTTATCTCTTATTAAGTGCTTTAGTTATATTCTAATAAAGAAGATTTTTATGATCTAAATAGATCTTTACTAGATATTTTAGTTCTTCTAAATATACTCTTTAGTATTTTAGTGCTTTCACTATTACGAGTAATTCTTTATCGTGAATATCGTAGTGAAGCTTTAGTCCTATTATTTTTCTTAAGAAATAGATAACTAACTTAATTTTCCCGTTCTATTCTTCTTATATTAGGACTACGGCTATCGCGCCGTTTAATGCGTCTATTTTAAGGAAAGTCTATTGTTTCGAGTCGAAGATCGTAAGGATCGAAGCCTTAGTAAAGACTTTCTTAAGTTTCTTAATTGTCTACCTAGCTTCTTCTATTAAAGTAAAGGTCGCGACTCCTTTCTTTATTAGATTTGTTAGAGGTGCGGTGATTCGCGAATAGTTCCGTATAAACTTTCGATAGAAATTAGCGAATTCTAGAAACGATTATAATTCCTTTAGCGTAGTCGGTTCTAGCTATTTTAGTACGCTTTTAATATAGTTAGGATTTATCTTAAGTTCCTCTCTAGTAACTATATATTCTAGAAATTTAACGTTATCTTTATAAAATTTACACTTTTTAAGTTTAACCGGTAGTTAATATTTCTAAAGAGCCTCTAGTACCTTCGTAACGTATTTTATATATTCTTCGTAGATCTTAGAGTAAATTAAGATATTATCTAAGTAAGCGATATAAAAAATATCTAAATATTTTCTTAACGCGTTGTTAATAAGTGTTTAGAACGTCGCTAGTGCGTTAATGAGCCTAAATAATATT